AAAGACAGCAATAAGAAGAATGGCCTGGCTGGAAAGGAACTTCACATTAGGGAATACTAAGAGACTAGATAAACATCAGAAAATAATTATAGGGACTTAAAAAAAATACATCATAAGTCAAGCAACAAAATAATGAATGCTTTAAAAGCATAAATCTGGAAGCCATGATTAAATTAAGGCTTGAAGAAGGAAAGTAATTTAAGAGTCTAAAGTACTGGTAGTCTTCAAAGATATGAATGTCTGTTATATAGAAGAGGAATTCAACTTCTTAGAAAGAAAAGGTGGGGCGGAGCCAAGATGATGGAGTGAAAGCAAAGACTCACCTGAGCTGTCCCTCAAACCCCTTCAAATATTTTTAAAAAGTGACTGAACAAATTCTACAGTGGCAGAACTGACAAAGACACAGAGGGAGGCAGATTTCCAGTCCAAGACAACCTAAAAGGTCAACAGGAAAGGTCTGTTACACACAGGTTGGAGAGGAACACGGTCTAGCACAGGCCCCACAGGCCCCAGGAACACACACCTAGTCCCAGAGACCCCTGGGGGGGGGGGGAAGGACACCTGAATCACTGGCAGCAATGGCAGTTTCCAGACTTCTCAACCCACAAATGCCAAAGACAACTTAGAAGGTCAGTAGGAAAGGTCTTTTGGACCTGGGTGGGAGAGGAGCTTGGTCCCAGCCTCAGCCCCAGCAAATCAGAAGCAGGCCTTGGAAGTGACTGAATCAGCAGCAGCAGCAGCTGCTCCTGGAGCTATCAGCTCACAGACAGTATTTAAAAGTCACCTATTTCGACTTCCCAGAGCCAAGACGGCAGAGTAAGCAGTATAAGTCACTCTCACCCTCCCTTACTGACCTTGAAAAATGCAGAGAATATTGCCCCAGGAAAAATCCTGGAATAGTGGAGCCAGCAGAAAGAGGAGATACAATAAGAGAATACTGCCCCAGGAAAAATCCTGGAATAGTGCAGTCTTTTAGCTGGAGAGGCTAGGGGAATTAATGGGAAAGGTTCCTCTTGCTGCAGCTGAAGGGGACCAGTACAGGATGGGAGGCATCGCGGCAGGCCCCACTTCAGCAAACCAGCTGGAGATTCTGAGCCCTATGGTGGTGGAGCACCAACACCAGGCACACAACAGCTACCACCACCAGCTCCAGTTCAGCACCAGGTAAACTACCGGATTCCTACAGCCTCCACTGCCAACATCTGAGGTTCCAGCACACAAAACCAGTAACCAGGCCCCTAGCCCCCAGCACAAGAAGCCTGGGTCGGTGCCCCCTGTGCTCCACATGCAGAGACCAACTTTAAAAGCCAGAAAAAAAAGGCAAACAACAAAGAAAAACAATGACCATAGAGAAGTATCTTAGTGACAGGGAAGATCAAAACACAAATTCAGGAAAGGACAACATTGTCAATATACTCACAGCTGAAACCTCAAAGGGGAATATGAACTGGTCTCAAGCCCAAAAAGCTTTCTTGGAAGAGCTCAAGAAGTATTGTCAAATTGGAGAGGTAGAAGAAAAATCGAACAATTCCTTTAAAAATACAATTGACAAAATGGAAAAAGAAAACAACTCCTTGAAAAGTAGAATTGGCCAAATGGAAAAGGAGGTACAAAAGAAAAAAAAGTACTTAAAGGTTAAGGTCTTACACTGGAGATAAAGCAAAGTGGATTTGAGATGCGTAGCTGAATTAATGGTGGAACATTAGCTACAAACTGTCCATTTAAATGACTACAGTATGCAAGGCCCCAAGCCCACCATCCACTGACCAGACCACACGGAGTGCTGGAGGGCCCAATGGAAGAGGCATAACAGGGCATCTTTTTCCCCAACATTTCTGACAATGCTCGTTCTCAAAGTCCCTCCTTGACTAGACACTGATACCTTTCTCCATTTCCATCCCCCAAGGAGGAAACCCAGAGCTCCCACTCCACATCAACAAATCCCTATTTCTCAATAACCATGGGCCAAGCCCCTCAAGCAGCCCATCCGTACCCCAGAAAGGCAGTATGGCAGAGTGAATAGAGAACTAGCCCAAGGCAATACAAGTTCCATCTCTGGATACAAGTTCCATCTCTGACACATAACAGCTTTCTGCTCTAGGCCAGTGATGACAAACACAAATAGAAATGGATCTGTAAATTGTGCATCCCTTTGATCCACTTCTAGGGCTGTATCCCAAAGAGGGAAAAGGACCCACATGTACAAAAATATTTACAGCAGCATCTTTTGTGGTGGCAAAGAACTGGAAACTGAGGGGATGCCCATCAACTGGGGAATGGTTGAACAAGTTGTGGAATATGAAAGTAATGGAATACTATTGTTCTATAAGAAATGATGAGCAGGCAGATTCAGAAAAAACCTGGAAAGACTTGCATGGAGTAATGCTGAGTGAAGTGAGCAGAACCATAAAATGTACAAAGCAATAGCAACACTGTGCAATGACCAACTATGACTGACTCAGCTCTTCTCAGCAATACCATGATCCAAGACAATTCCAAAAGACTCGTGACAGAAAATACTATCCACAGCCAGAGAAAGAACTATGAAGTCTGAATGTGGACCAAAGCATACTGTTTTCACTTTTTTTTGTTTTTTGTTTTTTGTCACTTTTCCCTTTTGCTCTTTTTTTCACAACATGACTAATTTGGAAATACGCTTAACATGATAGCACATGTATAATCTATATTAGATTGCTTGCCATTTTGTCGGGGGAGGGAGAAAAATTTGGAACTCAAAATTTTATTAAAAATGAATGTTGAAAACTATCTTTAAGTACAATTGGAAAAAATAAAATACTATTTACCAAAAAAAAAGGATCTATTTGCCACTTAATGACTTAGAAAACCACAAATTAACATTATCAATGTTGCACTGCATTTGTATTTATTTTACTAAACATTTCCCAATTACATTTTAATGTGGTTCAGTCTGAATTTTTGCAGGTGTCAAGTCAGTGAGTTTCACATCTCTACTCTAGACCAGGTAAAGGGAGTTTCTTCACTTAAGCATTTATTATACCAATGAAATCACAGGTCCAGTCCTGATCCCCATCCCATGGGTTCAGAGAGTCAAATCCTCTCATTTTACAGATGCCATATTGTAACTATATAAACTCTGAGGATACAAAAAGAGGCAAAAGATGGTCCCTGCCCTCAAGGAGCTCACAATCTAATAGTGGAGACAACAAATATATAAAATGCAAGCTATATGTGGGATATATTGTTTGTTATTCATTTTCGAAGTAGACCAATGACATCACAGGGTGATGTCTTGACTCAAGTGTGAATTGGATTTAAGAGAGGCAGAGTTGCACAAAGTTGTAAGCCTCACTCTCTTTCTTTGTGTGTGGCTAAAGTGGGGTGGAGAAGTAGCTCATGGAAAATGAGTAGGCTAAAGGAACTGAGTGGCTAGTATTTGAGGATGAATCAGTATATGTGCTGACATCTCAAAATAAAAGTGCAGGAGTTGGGGAGAAGAGAAAAACTTTGAGTCAAGTACTGGAATTCATTGAGGAAGGAAGGTGAGTGACCTGGGAGTCTGTTAGATAACAACTACCAGGATTTTGATTGGGTGGTAGATATGAATAGCACAAAACTCAAAGGAGAAGAGGTAACTGAGTAGTCCAGGTAGGAGAATAACCTTGAAGTGGCAATGAGCAACTCAGTATATCACACTAACTCCCAATCAATCAATAAACAAGTATTTATTAAGTACCTACTGTGTGTCAGGCCCTCTGCTAGGTAGTGAGTACACAAAGATTTAAAGTAAAACAGTCCCTGCTCTAAAGGACCTTTTATCCTAATGGTAGAAGACAGTAGGTATATACACAGCTGTATGTAGAAAACAGTCAGTCAGTTAATAATTATTTATTAAGAGCCTATTATGTGCTAAGTGCTAGAGACACCAAGAGGAGCAAAAGACAGCGCCTGCCCTCAGAGCTCAGATGCCACAATCTTGTGGGGGAAGGCACTACCAGCTGGGGCCCACGAAACGAAAAGGCTCGTGCAAACATGTCTTCCTTTTAGATTTAAGGAAAAAATGAGAAGGTAAATGGAGACAGAGATCTTAAGTGGAAAATGGGATAAATGGGGGATATCACACCAAAAGTCTTGATGTTTTCTGTGGCGATGAGGTCATTTGATTATGTAGAAAAGGCAGCATCAGGGGATATGAGGAAGGATAAAAGAAAAGAAGCCAAGCAGCTGAGGGAAGATGAACGGAAGAGCCATGAAAAAGGCTAGTCCTGCTACTTTCGACCTACAGGACCCTAGGCAAGTCACTTAACCTCCCTTGGCTCACATCACTTTCTTTATCTACTACTTGTAGGGTAAGACTAGAGAGTCTCTAAAATCGCTTGTAGCTCAAAGCCTAGGATCCTATAACGGGCCCTTTGATAACCATCTTTGTAGTACACCAGCTATGCTCAAACACAGGGCTTTCTCCAGCAGTGGCAGTAGACAAAGTGGGTGTGGGGGTGAGGCACAGATAGGAATTAATGGGGCAGGCTCATCAGAAGGTGAGAGAAGCCAAGGAGTCTGGCAACGCTGGAAACTAAAGTCCTGAATAACTACAGTGGAATTCTAGTGGTGGACAAAGAATCCAGGGCAGTTGGAATGAGGCTCAAAGTCAGAATGAAACTGTTAGAAATGAGTGCTAGCGGAGGCAGATGATGCATTCTGTGGGTATGGAAGAAGGGCATGAATAGGTAAGGATTATGCCAGTAGGAAGGGAGACAACTAAACTGCTGACTCTGGAGGCAAAGCAGGGTTTGGTGGTCAAGTAGCGACCATATCAGGACAAAGTCTACTTCTGCTTGCTGCCTATACAAATACCAGGGCGGGGGGGGGGGGGGCGTGCACGCGCGCGCGCGCGGGTTGCACAGTGAAGCAGCTTCATTAATGGATTTTCCTCCTAATTCGACCAAATTATTAGTTTTATTGGATAAATTTAATACAAAAAACTTGTTTGGACGTTTAGCAGCAGCACATGATGCTCTCACCTGCACTTCACTAGTTTTCTGTCTGATGGCTTCTTCCTTTTCTCGAATGTCTTGTTCCAAGGAATACTTCTCTCTGAGTGAAAAACATACATGCAGAATCAGTTAGGCAATAAATATTTATTGGGATGTTGAGGCTCTTCCCTCGTCCTCTTGGTTTACCCATATCCTATCCATCCTACAAAATCCAACTCAAATTCTATCTCTTCCATGAAGTCTTCCTTGACAACATTGGCCCACACTGACAGCACTGGCCTTTCACTAATTTCTTTATACTTATTGTTTGTACTGAAAAATTCACTTGTAAAATAGCCCTGGGTCAACCAAATCAGAGTGATCTTACGTGGTACAGTAAAGAGAGAACAGGATTTGGGTTCAGGAACAACTGAATCAAAATCCTGCCTCAGACGCTTACTAGCTGTGTGACCCTGGGCAAATTACTTAACTTCTCTGTGTCCAGTTTCCCATCTTATGGGGATCGTAATAGCATCTACCTCACAGGATTGCTATGAGGATCAAATTAATTAAATATGTAAAGCACTTTGCAACCTTAAATTGCTATAAAAATGTTTATCATCATCATCACCTTCATCATTAAAAATAATATGAGCCCCAAAGAGATGAAGTTGAGGTGAAGGTAGTGCGTTCAAAAGAAGGCTGTAAGCGCTGAAGGAAGAGAAGAAATTGTGACTATTTTTTATAGAGTTGTAGAATGATGAAGAATACCATTGATTAAATTTAGAGAAGAGAAATTCAAACTGGAAAAGAGGAAGGGAAAAGACTGGAGGAGAGAGACTCAAGAAGGATTAAAGCAGAAGGACCTAAAAAGGAAGAAGAAAGAAAAATTTAATCTTATACAAAGGGAAACTGGACATCAAGGAGATGAAGATAGTAAGACAAAGTAAGTAAGGAAAGCTGGTAAAACAAGATTAGAGAAGGGAAAAGAAACTGGGTGCAGTTGTCAGGGTGTTAACAGATGCTCAAAAGGTGACGAGAAAGACAAATGTAGGACTGAAAATACCCACAAGCCAGGGAGCAAGAAAAACAAAGACTAAAGATGTCAAAAGATGTCACGTTCAATAAATGTAGACAGCAGGAAGAATTCTGCAGTGAACTGCAATGAATATACGGTATCTATTTTTGCCATAGCAAAATGGATGCTATGGTCAAAGTGCAGCCTGATCTCCACCTAGAAGAAAACGCAAAGGAGACGGAGGAATGCTTCTCTCCTCTCGAAGGTAGCATGGAAGATGAAATGCCTTTCAAAAAAAAAAGAAAGAAAGAAAAAGAGAGGGCTTACATTTTAAAAAAAAAAGAAAAAAAGATCTAAAAAGGCAGAAAATCCTAATCAGCGCTAAGAGATGGGAGGGCAGAAAAATGTTAACACAGATGAGAAAGAAAATAAGGTAGAACTTTGAACAGCTGGAGCTAAGAAAAAAAAGGAAAGGAAGCCAGATATCATATAAAAGATGTAGCTACTTATCATTCAAGACATGACGACTTGGCTCCATAGTGGCTGGCAGGTGAGAGACCCCCTTTAAGGTGACTGGGAAAAAGAAGAGCATCAAAGGCGGCAGAGGATGTCTGCTCAGGTTGGATGAGATAATCGATAATGGAGAGAACACAGAGAGAGATGCCCAATTCTTTGCACTGACTTATAAGGAGAATAATTAGACTGGAAAGTACAGAACAAATCAGCAGTTAAAGGGAACAGTAAAAGAGGACCTAGCTATCACTGATGATTTCAAGTCACTTGGACAAATGAATGACACACCTGAATACCGAAAAAACTGAAAAATGTGTTACTAAGTCCATCGACAAATCTGAAAGATCATGGAGAATGTACAACTGGAGAAAGGCAAATAGTCCCAATTTCTCAAAAAATGGAAGAGAAGAATAGTCTGCAAACCAGAGAAGTTAGACTAAGTCTAACTTCAATTTTTGACAAAATTCTAGAATGTATTATTAAAGAAATGGTTAATGAATATCTGGAAAAGAAGCAAGGATCATAAGGAGACAGAGTGGCGTCATCAAGAATAGGTTATCCCAGACCAATTTTATTTTCCTTTTTGATAAGATGACTAAATTGGTAAATCAAGGGAGTACTGAAAATAGTTTTCATATAATTTCATATAATTTAGCAAAACACTTAATAAAAATCAAATGAGTTAACATATGTAAAGCACTTCGCAAACCTTAAGCACTACCATATAAATGCCATTGTTATTGTTATTATTATCTCCTGAAATTATTTTATAAAAGAGAGCTTGAAAACTAATGACCATGCAGTAAGGAAGACTGAGAATTGTCTGAATGTGACAGATACAAAAGAGTTATTGGCATGAAGCAGTGGAAAGAGCGCCAGATCTGGAGCCAGGCTCTAGGATTCCTCAGCTCTGCCACATACCACCTGTGTGACTTTGGGGAATTCTCTGGGTCTTAGGGTCATTATCTGTAAAATAACAAGAAAAGATCACGTGACATCCCAAGATGTCCTTTCCACCTCTACATCCACCATCTCTCTACTGGTCCGTCTTAGGCACATGCACCTGGTCCTGGACTGTTTAACAATTTTATCACTGATTCAGATAAAGGGCACTGATGGCAGATGTACCGAATATGGAGATGACTCAAAGCTAGGAGAGATAGCTAACACACTTGATGACAGTCAGAATCCAAAAAACACTTGGCAGGCTAAAACACTGGGCCAATTCAAACAAGATAAAATTTAACAGGAATAAATGTAAAATCTTATACTTGAGTTCAAAAGTTCAATTTCCAAAGTGCAAAATCAGGGAGCTACAGATAGACAACATTTTGTCCAAGAAAATTTTTACAAAACTATGTATGAAAATAGAAATTTGGTGTCTATACGACATTCAAATCAGTCAGTCAACAAGTATTTATAAAGGGCCTACTACATGCCCATACTAATCTCTATTTAAAGATATAGAAGATGGCAAGCTTAGTATACGTCAGCAGTGTGATACGGCAGCCAAAAGTACTAGTGTGTGAGGTGATGGTCCTACTAAGCTCTGCCCTAGTTAGACCAAATCTGGACCATTGTGTTCAGTTCTGAGAGTTACATCTTAGGAAGGACATTGATAAGCTGGCGATTGTACAGCCTCAAGTTAATGGCATTTAACAGAAATGGAGATGTTTTGCTTGGAAGAATGATTAAAAGTTGTATCTGAAGGGTCGTCGCATAGAAGTAAAATTACTTGTTCTGCTCAGCCCTAGAGGGTAAAGAGAAGAAGCAGCAATGGCAAAAATGTGCAAAGAAAAAATTCCTAACATCGGAGCCATCCCAAATTGAAGAATGGGCTGCTTCAGGAAGAATGGGTTCCCCTTCACTTGAGGACTTTAAACAGAGGCTGGATGACCATTTGTCAGGTATGTTGTAGGAGTGAATCATTTTGAGGGTAGCAAGATGGTGCAGTGGACAGAGCACCAGCCCTGGAGTCAGGAGGACCTGAATTCAAATAAACCTGTGAAATACCATGATTCTGTAAAGAGGCTTCACCCACAATCATACAGCTAGTTTAAACTCATAAGCAAATATAACATGTCTCAGACAGAAACTGAACCAAAGTGAGGTTTGTCAAATGTTCTCAAACAAAAGATGTCATTTAAAAAATCCATTAAATGAGTCAATTTAACTAAACAGAATTCATGTTTATTTTTTCCCAGCATCCTTGCAGGTACACAGGTTTATGGCACCAGGGTCATCCTCAACTCCTCACTATCCCTCTCCCAACATGTGCAAATAGTAACTAATGTTATCGTTCCTTTCTCCATCATCATTCACATATATCCCGTTCTCTCCACTCATGCAACCACCCGCCAAGCTTAGGTCCTTATCACCTCTCTACCAGACTATTGCCATGGCCTCACCAATGGTTTCCCTGCCTTAAGGGTCCGGCCTCCACAGACCTACCAGAGTGACTTTCCTCAAGTACAGATATAACCACAACACCTCCCTACCCAAAAAACTCCAGTGGCTCCCTATCACCAGTAAGATAAAGCGCAAACTCTTCTGTCTGGCATTTAAAGCTCTTCACAACCTCTCCCCAACCTACCTTTCTTACTCGTTATTCTAGAATCCAGTCATAGAGGCCTACTGGCTATTCTGCACACACAATGCTCTAGCCCCCATCTTGATGCCTTTGCACTAGCTGTCCCCCATGTCTTTAATACATTCTCTCTTCCTCTTTGCCTCTGTGTATTCTGGTGTCAAGACTCAGCCTGAGCACCACCTTCTACATGAAGTCTTTTCTGATTCCCTCTTAGCCCAGCTCCTACTGCTTTTCTACATGCCTATTATGTGTATATTTGTTTCTGCTGATAGAAATCCAGGGCTTTCACTTTTGTCTTTGAATCTCTACTGGCACATAGTACTAGGTCATAGGTCATACATAGCTAAAAATACTTGGTGAGTGACTCATTGGCATGTAATAGAAACACCAATTTTCCATTTTTACATATAGTTTTTCCCTGTTATTTCCAAGGAATTACTATATACTTTGTATAACTTTTGGAGACATTTTAGTGGAGAAAATGCTAAAAGCAATTTATGAGATACCTTTGCAGCTGAGCAATCTCCTGACTGATATCATCAAGTTCTTTTACTCCTGTGAATTCCCCTGATCCAAGAGTACTTGAACTATCCTAGAAGAAAATCCAAACGTGCAAGAATAAGGTAATCATTTCTTAATGTCAATGACCGTTATGATCAACTGATACCTGAGAGCACACATTTAAGCAGAGTAAAGCAGAACAAAGATAGCAGTGGAAAAATAAGCACAGAGAAGGTCCCTCCCATGACCAAACTTAGTCCAAGCTCACATCTACAGTACTCCAGAGTGAGGGAGTAGAGGTAGGGGGACCTACAGAAAATATCTCAGGCAGATTTACACCCTCCACCCCCGCATCCCCACGGTGGCTTATTGTCACCACTGCCTGAGCTGAGGTGCTCCTTGGCCTCTGTGACACTCACCGGAAGAGGAGTATTTCTTTCTGAGGGAGGGATCATGTCAGGGGACAAAGCCTGAGGAGGATCGATTCCTTTATGAACCTTTTGCTGAATGAAATACATGGCTAACGCAAACTGCTCCTTGCTTAGCTTTCCCGTCTGCCTTGTATCGGCCAGGGCCCTGTCAAAAGCATGGAAATGCCGATTACTTATTATCTATTATTATTTATTATTATCTATTTGATCAATCTATCATGACTAATAAGTACAAAACATAAATCCAGTCCCCAATGTTTTTAAACCAACCCAGCTCCCCCACAAAGGTTACCCTGACAGCAAAAAGAATGAAACGAGCTGTTTTCTTCTTTCTCCCACCTCAATTTCTACTTGTTTTCCCTGAGAGGCCATATCTCTAAGGTTCTATTAACTGAAGATGCCTAATTATGTCACTCTTGTGAGAGAGACCCAAAAATCCACCATCACCACATTGTGAGCCTGATGTCGGAAAACCCCAGGTTAACTAGGAGAGTCTCTATTTAAGCATGAAGAGTGCTGCATACATGGAGGGGGTGTTCATTTCAATAGCTCTGGTGGCTGGTCCCATGTGTGCCTATAAATTACATGAAGGAAGCAGCATCCTGTGTGTTCTGTGCTCTGTCTTGCCTATTATGTATCTAGCGCAGTGCCAAGATGCCTGCCAGCACTCAACAAATATTCATTTACTGAGCTTTTAAAAAGTAATTTCCATCCCTAACAGCTACTCTACACCTCCCTGACTGACCACAGAATTTCATTCATGCAGCAAGGTACTAATAAAGCACATCTAAATGTACCCATGCAATTAGCTTCACTGCAATCCCTCTGAAGACTTGAAGGGAGCTTTCCTTTTTTAATTACAAAATAGGCAATGCCACCTAGCTTCCTTTAAGTCTGACCCATATGATATGGAGAGAAGTTTTCTTCCCCTCTGACTCCATTATCTTTTATGCCAAACAGAACCACATGAATAAGTCATTATCAACAAGCTGAGTCATGTACCTCTGTGAAGTGGTAACTCCTACACTGCTGGAGAGAGAACTGAAGTGGTTACTATATGTAAATTCAGTGTTTTATAAAGCCATTGAGGTGACTGAAAGCATCCCACAAACCACTGCTAGTGAATTAGCAATACTAATTAGCATTTATCTACTAGTGAGGCTAGACACTCCTGGCCTCTGCCTCTGAAACCTCACACTTCTCTGGGTCTCAGTTCCCTTGTCTGTAACATTAAGAGGTTGGACTAGATGTTCTCTGGATTCTTAGACAGTGATTGAGGCAGCACAGTTAGAGCAGAAAGGCCACTGTATTGAGAGTTAAAAATTCTGGGACAAAATCAGCTGTGCCACTTACTAGCCCTGTAACTGTGAAAAAGTCACTTAAAACTCCCTGAGGCAATTTCCTTATCTGCAAAATCAGGATATTACTATCTGCACACACCAGAGTGTTTGAGAGAAAAAGGCTTTCTTTGTAAACCATAAAATACTACAAAAATGTGAACTATTATGATTAACCATTTCCATACTGGAAAAGATAAGTTATCTATTCTCTTTTTAAGATTCTCTAATGAAAGAATTTCTATACCTCAGCAACCTATATGGTTAATTTGGCACGCTGAAAGTCTCTTTACATCAGGAATTGCAAAAAAGCGGAGGCCTACATTGCAGCATTGCAATGTGTACAGAGCAGACGGGGCTGATTGCTCTCAGCCAGCAGCGAACCAGGAGGAGGCTCAAAGGAGAGTGGCAAGTGTACCCTACGTCATAGCGTAATTAGACAGTTAGTGGTGCAGTACCAATTGGCAAGGAGTAAAGGGTGGATGATTACCCATTCCTGTTAGACTTATAAATTTTGAATAGAGCCTATTGGAAATGTTCTTGTAGGACGATCGGTGTGACTGTTTAAAGCAAATGCTAAGTAAGCAATATTTAATATATCCTCAAGAATCATTTTTAGAAATTAATTCTTCATAGTGATTCACAGGGAATTCAACTGCTAGAATGTAAGCTCCTTGGAAGCAAGGATTATTTCATTTTTTAAATCTTTGTATCCTCAGCACCTGACATAGAGACAAAAGAGGTGCTTAATTAATGCCTCCTGACGAACTAACGTGCTTATTCTAATGATACTGCCATGGCTCAAAATCGCATCTGGGATTCCACTTGAGGAAGTATCTTCCAAGTCAGCAAACTTTCTTTTTATAGAACCCCATCTTTTGAGGTTAAATTGGGGGACAAATTAGAGGAATGAAGCAGATAATTAAACTGAGATATCAATTACAAACAAAAAACAATAAAAAGATATAAGACAACACAACTCAATGCATAACCAGACCTGAAGCCAATTGCAAAGGGAATAAATTACTTTGAGGGAGGCAAACATTTATTTGACTATACAAAATTCTACTACAGTTACTTTAACAAACTATGTCATTAACTTATAATCACAGACCCACAATTTCCTCACTTGGATTCAAATTTACTCCAGAATAGAATTACAATGTAAACCCAAATTTTTAGATTTATGGTAAAAAAAATTTTATGGTAAAATTAGTCTTGAAAGTAAAGACATGCTCCCAGATACTTCATTAAATAAGTTTCTGTAAACTTATATGCAGAAAATTAAGAACAGTTTGTCCCCTTGCACTAAAATTTCATATGGCAGCTCTGAAGAATACTATAAAATTGCCCTTCAGTTTCATCTACGGTTAAAAGGCACAACTCTTTCACAATGTCCTCAGAGTAACTGGCTATTGGTTTCTTCTCCCCTTTTTTTGCCACTTGAACTCTCTCAGGAACTACATCCAATCCCAAAGCAAGCTTCAATCCAACAAGAAATTTCTGAAGAGGTTTTCAATTCTTACCATATGTGTGCTAAGAGACTCTGAGTAAGGCCCGAGTGAATGAATATTTCTTTCACTTCCTGGCCACTCACATAACCATCCATGTCCAAGTCAGTTTTCAAGAAAATTTCATCAAATCTCACTTTATCAGACATTGGTACCACCCAATTCACTGCTGGCTAAAAAAAAAAAAATGTAAGTTAGTTATCTTTAAGAGGACCACTGAATCCACATGTTTTTATTAACAAAGGATAAGAAATGACACTAGCTAAAACCAACAACCTATCCATTTCGGAATTTTGTGTCAGACAATGGCACCAATGACAGGTTGCTGTCCTCAATACTGATTTTACAAAGCTAGGGATGTTCCCTTCTGTTGAATCTGTTATGGATTCATGAAAAAACTGTTAGATATTTTAGTTTGCAGAGTTTCTGGGAGTAACTGATTCTAACTGATGACAAAATGAGGTACAAAATAGTACCTTCCCTTTATCAGCCTTCAAAATATATGTCCCTGGGGGCAGCCAGGTGGTGCAGTGGATAGGGCACAGGTCCAGGAGTCAGAAAGACCTGAGTTCAAGTCTGACCTCAGACACTCGACACTTACTAGTGGTGTGACACTGGGCAAATCACTTAGCCCCATTGCCTAGCCAAAGATAAATAAATAAAATTACACGTCCCTCTTTTTATTTCAAGGCTTTTGTTTTATTCATATAGGATCTGATGATCAAATCTCTGTTTTTCCTCTAGTTATATCCTCAATGATTACTTGTAACTTTTTAAGTAGAATGAACTCACAAGTCAGTTGCTAGGAATTCTCAGTGCCTCAACACTATCACCATCACCTTCCTCTCCTTACTAAATAAAATGCTGAACTTCCTAACCAATAAAACTACTATTTGTGAGGTGCATACACGGAGGATCTATAATTTTTTTCCCATGGAAGGGAGGGTTGGAAGCCATGTTGCTAGATAATAATAATTATAAACACCAACATTCTATAATGTTTCTACGTGCCAGGCACTGTGCTAAGCACTTCACAATTATTATCTCATGAGATTCTCACAACCACCCTGGGAGGCAGATGTTATTATCATCCTGATTTTACAGATAAGGAAACTGAGGCAAAAAGAGATTTAGAGTCTTGCCCAAGGTCACACAGCTAGTAAGTGTCTGCGGCCAGCTTTTAGCTCAGGTTTTCCTGGCTCTGGGCCCAGTGCTCTATCTTGGGCTGAAGTAAAACAAGTACAGATCTGAAAATTAGAAATGTGACAGTCCTACTGTCCAGTGTCCAACTCTAATCCCATTTTGATTATGATGCTCAGTTACAGGTTTCAAAAGGAACTCTAACAAACTGGAGATGATCCAGAAAAGAATGACCAAGATGGTAGGTGAGTGGACGATGACATGGCCACAGCAGTGCTTAAAGAAGATCAATTTGGGGGTAGCTAGGTGGCGCAGTAGATGGAGTACCAGCCCTGGAGTCTGAAAGAACTGAGTTCAAATCCAGCCTCAAGACACATAATAAGCACTAGCCCGTGTGACTCTAGACAAGTCACTTAAGCCCAACTGCCTCGCCAAAATAAAAAAAAAAGAAAGAAAGAAAAGGGCCATTTTACGGCAGCTAGATGGCACAGTGGATCGAGAACCAGCCCCGGATTCAGGAAGAACTGAGTCCAAATCTAGCCTCTAACCCTTGATACTAATGGGGAAGGTGGGAAGACAGGGTGAGTATGGGAGGAAAGATAATGAGTTTAAACAGAATATACATTCTGAGATGTCTACCAGGCACTTAGAGAAGGGAAACTAGAAGTCAGCATAATTCGACAAACAGATCCCCAGAAGCAACAACAGTTTTCCAACCAACAGGCACATACTCTGAAGGAGCCTGTGACAGATCTCTTCTGCTGATGTGACAACATAATAGAGGCAGAGCTATACATACATGTACACGTACACACATACATGTGTGTATTTAAATCATACATATAATCTGCACCCAAATTAACTATATTTGCATGAGTTTTCCTCTTTTTAGCAGATATATGCACACATAACTGCTATGTGTGTGTGGTGTATATGTGTATATACTATCTATGTGTCTCCCCATGTGTGTAAATACACATGCACACACAGATAAAATCTGCACATAAAATAACCTTATTTACATGAGCTTTCCTTTCTATTTTTAGCAGGTCTGTTTTGCCGTGTGGTGCTTGTTCTCTTGGTACCCTAGACTATGCAGTTAGAGACAGTGATTAAACATGTCAAAATTGTATGTTCAGATAACAAAACAAAACACCTTTTCTATCATCCTATTTTGATAGCTCACTCATTGGAATACTGTAATTGGTAGAACAATAAGTTGACAAAAAATACAGAGAGAAAGTATTTTCCCATAGAGACCATCTAGAAACGAAAAAAATTTAAAAACCTACCTGGGCTTGTTTTACGCCATGTTTGGGAGATAAGCTTCCCGTGCTGTTCAGACTGTTCACGCTGCCATGGGAAGGAGTTGAACGTAGGCTATCTTTGGGTGGAGGACTTGCGGGAAGAACAGGTACAGCACCAGGAAAAACAGGTTTTTTTCTTTTGGAAGGTGGTATAAGCGATGGTGGAAGTACAGATGGAACTGGTTCTTTCTCAAGGGCTCGATATACTAGGTGCATCGCCTGCAAGTAACAAATGATAACAGACCTATAAAAGTCAATCAACAAAGAGAAAAACAAAAAAAGAACATAAGGAACAGCAATGATAGCAGTTCCCACAATTATGGTTCTCTGACAAGACTCAATTTAAAGAAGCTTCTAAACTAAAATTTAAAGAACGTTTTCCCACAAATAAAAATGTTTAAGGAATGATTTCTCTTTCCATATTTGCTAATTCTCCAGTATTGGAATTTTGATATCCAAGTAAAAAAAACCACACTTATGAATACATGATCCATTCATTGTCCTGAAAGTATTTCCATAAATCACACATTTTCCAATTCCAAATTACTGAAATTGCAGATTCTAAGACTGCTCAGTAAAAGCTGAATTAAATTTTGGCTCTACAATGGTTTGGTTGAATTTTGTTTTTCTAAATTTGGTCTTGTGATTTCATTCGTGCAGGGAACTTCACATGTAAAAACATTTATCACTGACTTAGATCAGCAACTCATCTACAAATCATAAGTAGCTGACTGGGGCACCGATTTGTCCAGAATCACACAGCTAATATGTGTCAGAACCAGAACTTATACCCATCAAGACTGACCCTCTATTATGTAAAATGGTTTCTCAAGTACTATGAGAAATAAAAGAAATTGACTTACCCTAACAAAAATGGGCATACTTCATGTAGTTTTTTAAATATCAAATTCAAGATTTCCTTATACATGCATACTAAAAATCTACTTTAAAATGAGTCCTTTCTTACCAGTTTAAAAAAACAAGCCTTCAATGTACTAATTAGCTGCTTGGCCAGCATTAACACTTTATAGAAGTATCATAAGGATGTTGATGGTTATTTTAAAAAAGGTTTGATATGTGCACAGAGTCCAGACTTTGATAATAAAATAACAGTGTACACAGTGGGGCCAGCTCCATCAATACCTTCTCCCACTGACTCAGTGCACTATGGCAGTAGCCCCAGGCTCTCAAAGGCCATGTGTCAGCAAATGACAAATTCTCACAGGTTCTATCAAACAAGAATGGATCTAAGAATGTCTTGGTAACAGACCAAAGCCTGCTGCCTAGTCTAAATCTAGCTATAACATTACATCATGATAAGGTGGGCCATGAAGGATAAACTGGGGAGGGGGCCATAATAATTCACAAATCCAACTATGATCTGTATCAGGGAGGGAGTACCCAGACTGATAATTGTATTTCGCATCATAAGCAAGTTAAAAAATCAGAATTTTTTAAAAATATATTTACTGATCATCTCTGAGATAGTAGTTCTTCAAAAACTATTATATATCATACATTTTAAGAACTAAGTTTTCTAATCATCTAACTTAAGTGACTACATATTCCTCTCATTAACTATTTCCCATTGTAGCATTTTCTGAAATCACCAAAGCATTTAGCTCCTTTAGTTTACTGCACGTATAGTAGATTTAAATAGAATTAATTAATGCTATAAATGCCTATCACTGCTATAAACAAAATACCAGTGATTAGGTCAATGAGGGCACTGAGCATAAGGAAGAAAGATGAGGAGGCAGGAAAAGTGGCATGTACTCAGGAATGAAAAAGATGTCAGTGGAATCAGGGCAAGGGCAGTGAGACATATGGCAGATAGGAGGAAAGGCAGCTGTGGAAGGACAGCAAGTGACCAGACGCACCAGGAATGAGAAGGGAAGGCAGCAGTGGGAAGAGAGTAAGGGGTCAGATACATCAGAGGGCAGCCAAATGAGGGGAAGTGGGATCACTGATCCAAACACAGGCCTGTTGCTGCCCCTAAAAGAAAAAGGAAAAAGACAGAAAAAGAGGGATAAACCTAGACTGCAAAATCAAGAAACCCCTGAGTTTCTTATGTCCTTCCTCTGCGTGTATACTAAAGAGTAACAAAGGAAGAAAAAAGGACCTACCACAGCAAATTCATCTTTGTCCAAATGTCCATCTTTGTCAATATCACTGAGATCCCAGACCTAAAATAAGGAAGATTAAAAAAAAAAACTACTAAGAAAGAAAGATTAGATTCTGAAGACCCCTATTTTCATTTAGTTATTTAAATACATACCTGAAGAGTTTTGGGGTATAAGAATGCACAGAAACTCTAGTGTGACTACTAAACTCAATTTTTCCAGGTCAATAGAAACAAATGGAGTGAACAGTAACTGTCAAACCTTAGAAAGCCTTAGAGGACTCAGATTCAGAGACAACAGTGTAGAGCAGGGTAAGGAATACAGATCTAATTAGAAAACATTTTCAAAATAGTTCACAAGTATTTTTTATATAAATATACAGAACAAAAACGCATAGGGAAATATCTTTTGAAATTCACTGTCTCTATAGCTTTTTGTTCCTTTTCTTCCTAACACCTGGTCATGATTCAAATTGCACCCAAGAAATCCACACTTTTATCAATACATTGATGTCTTAGCACAAAAGCTTACATCAATTTTTCTTTTTTAGTATACCATGTTAAACAAAACTCAACATCAACCAAATTCTCTAGTTCCCAAATACAAGAGCTCGAAGATTTCTATAGGTTCACATCGGAGTGGAAGAATCAGTACCTCAAGTGAAGTTCTGGGGGATTCATTTGAAAGGATCTCCACTGCATGCCCCCAGGACCCATGAGTCCACTAACATGTTACATGTTAATATTCTTTTCCCTATGAATTTGTTTTTTGTGCTTCATTCGACTTAAACAGTAAAATGAGATTGCTCAGTTTAATTTCTAAGAATTTTCACAAGCTGCCATGAATTTTCTCAATTGCTAAGTTAGTACAAATTGGGTAGGGGAAGAGAGAAGAAGAAGGTGCTGAGGAGGATAAAAAGGGGAAGAGAGATCAACAAATTGCTTTTAAAGAATTATAAAATCTTTTAGTAATATAAACTCATGTCTGCATTGCAAACACCATCAAACACAGTTGATGTGTTGGTTGGTTTTACACGACTTATTTTTCTTTTTTTAAATAAAAATGGCTTATTGAGTATATTCAGAAATGACTGTAATGTGAAAAAAAGTAAACATTTTTAAAGCAAATATATATGGTGGTGATGGTGGTGGTTGTACAGTTGTTCAGTTGCATCTGACTCTTCATGACCCCATGGACCATCGCATGCCAATGCTGTCCATAAGGTTTTCTTGGCAAAGATACTGGAGTGGTTTGCCATTATTTTCTGCAATGGATTAAGGCAAACAGAAGTTAAATGACTTGCCCAGGGTCACACAGCTAATCAGCGTCTGAGGTCAAATTTGAATTCAGGTCTTCCTGACTTTAGGCTCAGTACTCTATCCACTGGGCCACCTAGCTGCCTCCTCTGTATATGTGTATGTGTGTATATATGTATATATATGGTACTTGCCATCAAATATATATAGGCAAATATGCATGTGTATATATAAATATATTTAAATATAAAGTGCCTCATCACTAAGGGTGTGTTTACATAGCACCACACTCTTAATTAAAATTACAGAAATTTATAACAACAAAAAAAAACCCCACACCTAAAAGTTCTAGCCCAACTCCCTTATTCTAGGGTATGACTTATAAAGTAATAAAACAAATTCCATAAATCATACAGAAAAGAAACAGTATCAATGCCTTATAATCACACTTTATGATAATAATAATTACAACAATTTTAGCTAAGATTTACACAGCACTTTAAGGTCTGCAAAATGATTTACATATACTGTCTTACTTGATTTTTAATAAAAATCCTGTGAGACAGGTGTTATTAATATCCTCATTTCATAGATGAGGAAAAAGGCTAAGTGACCTTTATCTGAGCCACACAACTAGGAAGTGCTTAAGGCAAATTTATAACTCGGGTCTTATTTATTCCAAGTCCAGCATTCTATCCTCTATGTCATCTCAGTGCTTGTACAGATCACAAAGGAGGTGTCAAATTCAAACAGAACCAGAGGCCACCAAGCCATACCTGAGGATACTTGCAGGCCAGAAAATGACTGAGAAAATCACATATTAACATTATCTGTTTCATTATATTTTTATTTGCTTTGTTAAATATTGCCCAATTACATTTTGATCTGGTTTGGGCTACACTTGGGAGTGTTTGGAAGTGCAATACACCACAGGGAGGCTGCATGTTTGACATTTCTGGATTACAAGCCTAAGGTATAGACTTCAAGGGGCACGCCCAGGGTCACATAGCTAAAAGCAGTATTTCAGGGACTGATGACTTTGTGGGTGTAAAAAGCACAGACACAGACACACACACACACACACACACACACACACACACACACACACACAAACATTTTGCAACTATTCCACTTTCATAAGACTGTCTTGCTGAGATGCTGTGGCCAACACTGTGGGGTCAGCTTTTCCTTAATTGGGAAGGCCAGTCTCCAAAAAACACACAATCTACCACCAAAGCCTCTCCAGCTCAGTAAACCTGCCAGAGCTTTTGCTCCATTGACAGAGCCTTTAAGAGCCCAGGATCAGTTTCATGACACAATGAGCTACTCAAAATAAGGCTTTAGTGCAGGAGTCCTTAACAGAGGGCCCATGAGCTTTTTTTTTCCTTCCATATTTCAAAATACTTGGTTTCTTTTGTAATGCTATGTATTTAATGCATTTCACAAAATGATTCCGAGAAGAGGTCTATCCACAGGCTTCTCCGGACTGATACAAATAAGGTGAAGAACGCTTGCTTTGGTGGAAGCATAATTTAATAATGATACAAAGCATACTTACCCTGCCCAGGATATCGAGAGGTAGCTTGGAGTTCATCAGAACTGGTTTTACTTTGTCTCCAGAAAGCAAACCACTTATAGGTAAAAGGCTTTCAAAAATTCCATCAAATTTTGCCTTCTCTTCCACCTAGTTGGTAAGAAATAGCCTGAATAAGTAAAAAAGCGTGCCTGTGTGAGTGTCAAAAATGAGATCTTACAAAAAACTAAATGACAGCTAACCATTTCTCTTGCTGAGATCACAAGATATCCTCAATACAGTTTCTGCTATGGCAACTTGTACAGGCTTCAAATGCAGATTTTTTTCCTTGAATGAAAGAAATTTGCTGGAGGGCTGGCTACAGATTAGGGAGGTCACTGGCAATGAGATGGAGAAAATATAGGATGTTGTTCCCCGCTCTTACCCTGACCCACCATATGACATGAAAACAAGCAACTTATGTTGCTATGGTTGTAATTGCAAAAATGAAAATTAGAGTGTCTATTTATCTCATCAGAATTAATAAGAACACATGTGAAAGAATTTTGACTCTATAACAGAAAGCCACTACATTAAAATGAACATTTTTACCACAAAATATAGTAAAGTACTCTACAAAAAAAATAGGTGGTAATCTAAAGCCATTCAAATGAAAAAACCACTTCTAACTTCTGGTTAACATTTACAGTGCAGAGACAGCATAAAAGGGAGTTCTAAATTTAAATCAAACTTGTTTAGCAGCCCATTCATCCACCCACCTAGAAGACAAGACCTCTTTTCCTGCATCTACCTCAGAAAGGCAAAGGCCCGAGTATGTGAAGACTGAGGAAAAGAGACACCTGATCACTTTAGCACAGGCACCAGACCTCTGAAGCCAGCCAGCTTATAGAAATATGCACCATACGGCCTCAGTTACATCACTATGTGTTTATACTGAGTGAGATTTTTTTGAAATACTGTATAATAAATGTTTTTGAAAAATGACAAATCATAAATGCTTGGCTGTGGAATTCAAGATTTCATGATGCCTGAATCAAATATAATGCAGCTTCCTACTTCCCCTCTGTACTCCAACTATTCTCTTTTCAAGAAGAAAACTGGTTAGTGTAAAAAGGGTAAAAGCAGTGGGTTAAAGAATAGATTTCTAGTTTATTAAAAATAGTAGTTTAAATGCTACCATTAAAACAACACTCAAATTTTTAAAAATACAAAACCAAAAAATCCATAAGAATAGTTTCCTGCACCACTCCCTTGTACTCCTCTCCATCCCCTTCAAAAAGATAAGCAAAAGTTTATTTAATCTATGGGTTTATCTTTTGCCTTTTTAATGAAACACAGCATAAAAGAAATCTGCTAGAATAGTTTTCTGCTTAGTTTAATGACATAATACATCATTTCCTTTACAAAAAGCATTAATATTACTTTCTAGCCACAATATCTTTTGTATCAAAATGGCACTTTAAGTGTCACTTGCCAGACAGGTCTCAATAAAAATGTTAGCGAGGTTACAAATAAAAACTAAGGTTTAAAAAAGATCTTGGATGTCACCATATTCAGGAGCTATACTTGCATGCAAACGGTATTAAAGACAATTTCACAGCTGTGTATGACAGGAAAAAGAGACTAGCTAGTTGCGTGATGAGAGAGAACACAGAGAGGCAGTTTTCAAATGAGGCGTCTCAATAGCATGCCCCAAATAAACTAACAAGCTAAGTGGATCCATGGGTGAATGTGGACAGCAATGCCATAGGATGAAAAGAAATGGTAGGAGGCAATACTAACCAACATCAATGGAATCAGAAATATTTCAAATTATCTAAGTCATAACTAATCAAACGACATGGAAAAAAATTTCTGAAAAGAATTGCAAACTATTAACAACCATGCAAAAGAAAGTTCCAAATCACGAAAAATAAGAGAAATGTAAATGAAAACAACTCTAAGGTTTTATTTCATAGTCAAATTGGCAAAGATGACCGGGGGGGGGTTAAGTGTGTGCGTATGTGGCGGGAGGGAACCTATAGCATTATGGGCAACAACAATGCACTACTGGCAGAGCTGTGAACTGGCATAATCATTATGAAAAACAATGTACAATTTTTCAAAGAAAGAGATTAAAATATGCATATGCTTTGACCCAGACATTCTACTGCTAGGCAATTACCCCAAGGAAGTCAATAATAAAAAAGCAAGAATCCACATACTCCAAAATATTTATAGCAGCTTTTTTTGTAGTAGCAAAAAACTGGAAACCAAAGAGTAACACTGTGTTGTAAGAAACAATGAATATGAAGACTACAGAGTAGCAGGGGAAGACTTCTATGAACTGATGCAAAGTGAAGTTAAGGAGAACCAAGAAAACAATAAACAATGACTATGACAATGTAAACGGAAAGAATAACAACAAAAGCACATGCTCCAAAATTATGGTGCCCAAGCCTGGCCTATAAAAAGGAAAGAGATGAGAGATATCTAATAGTTAATATTAACTAATATTTATATGGGGGCAGCTAGGTGGCACAGCGGATAGAGGGCTGGGCCAGGAGTCAGGAATTCTCATCTTCGTGTGTTCAAATCTAGCCTCAGACACTTGTGTGACCCTGGGCAAGTCGCTTAACCCTGTCTGCCTCAGTTTTCTCATCTGTAAAATGAGCTGTAGAAGAAAATGGCAAACCCCTCGAGTATCGAGTATCTTTGCCAAGAAAGACAACCCCAAATGGGGTCACAAAGAGTCAGACATGATTAAAAAAAACACACACACAAATATCTATATAGGGCTTTAAGCCTTGCAAAGTGCTTTGAATCTTCAATATATTTAATCCTTACAACAACTCTGTGAACTACCTACTATTATTATCTCCATTTTACAGATGAGGAAACTGAGACTGAGAGAGTAGTTAAAGGACAGGGTCACAGAATATCTGAGACAGGATCTGGACTCAAGTCTGTCTAACTCCAAGTCCGGCAGTCTACCCACGATTTAAGGAAGTCACCTAGCCACCTTATACCTCTCTTCTTTGCAAAAAGGGGGTGTTCTTTGTTATAAGGGAGAGCTCTCCAGGAAAGGAAGGAAAGAGACACACTGGAAATGTAGATGATATAAAAACAAAAGATAACATTTTTTAAAGTATTAAAACAAAGTAACAAAGTTAGTTATAATATACACAAGTCCTCACAATTAACTTTTATGATAAGCTGGCATAGGTTCAGTAACCAGGAAGAAGCATTATATAAAAACATAAAGTCTTAAAATTAAATTGTATAAACCTAGCCTCTGAAACTTTTAGCTATTTGCCTTAATTTGTTACTCCAAAAACGCTACTCTCTTTTTCAAAAACTATAATTTCTAATGTTAGACTGTGAGTTCCTTAAGAGGAGGGCCTATTTTTGTATCCTTAGTACTTAGCACAGTGCATGGCATATACACCATATATACAGTAAACATTTAAGAAATAATATTCATTGACCAAGTCAACTAAGTCAACCAGTATTCTGTACAAAGCATTTTTCAGTGAAAAATGTCCATGTGGTATCACCATTTCCAGAATATATTGTGAGCAGCCTTAGAAACATTCAATATGAAATTCCCCATGGAAGAGAGGTGAAGCTCAATGGTTCCATGCTCGACTTACCCTAACAGCCCAGTGGGACTCTGCTGAAGGAGGTGTAACCAATAAAGGACTGCTAGTGTCATGCTGAAAAGGGGAAAAGATTTGATGTTAGTACCCACGCAATATTGTTAATGTTATTAGTATTATCATTAAAAAGGAATGAAATGATCGCACATGGACAACCTATATCAGATTGTTTGCCATTTTGGGGATGGGGTAGGGGAAAGTGGGAGGAGGGAGAAAAATCTGCAACTCAAAATCTTATAAAAAATGAATGCTGAAAATTGTCTTTACATGTAATTGGAAAAAATAAAATACTATTTACATTAAAAAAAATAAGGAATGAAAGTCTTACTGTTTTTACTCAAAAGAATAGCAATTACAAAGCTTATATATATATATCTATATATAGATATATATAGATATATATAGATATATATAGATACAGATATATATCTATATATATATCTATATATAGATATATATAGATATATATAGATATATATAGATATATATAGATATATATATAGATATATATAGATACAGATATATATCTATATATATACACAAAAAGTGAAAAATGAGATCCTGGGTTGGTGCTTATGAGGATAAAAAAGAATAACTTACAAAACATAAAATCTAAATTCATTTAACATTTTTAATGATAATCACTTACAAATTTCGGAGGTGGGAGACTCAAGTTTAGGCTGCTCAAGTTAACTTCATGGCCATTTTGTGCACATGCTATTAGTCTCAGGGCAACATAGAAACCCTACAAATCCAAAAACATGGTAAGCCAACAATTTTTAAAAATGTACAAGCAAGTGGTCTTTAGGTGTTGGTTTCCAGCAGAATTAATTTTAACAATGCAGACAAATATGCAAAAAGTCTAAATCACCTGACACTTCTTAAATTAGCTCATGCCAAATGACTGATTTTTACATGTAGTATTTGTTAAATTGTATTTTTCCTACTGCATTATATATCATGCAACTTTTAAAATATATTTTGAAATAATCTGCTCCTCAAATTTATGAAACTTATTGAAATAAACACCAAATTTTATATGCAATATAAATTATTAATCAGTTCAAGGTTCCAAATTACAGATTAAATGTCAAAGCCAGGACTCACACCCATGTCACCTGACTGCAAGTCCAATGCGGTCTTACTCCTATATCATGATGCCATTGTTTTTAATTTTTTGATTACTTCATGTGTATACCAAGTTCATAATTCCCTCACCAGTAGATGATATTAGATCCTACATTCCTCTGCAGTTGCCATTCTAATAACTAATATTATTATATTAATAAACTTCAGGTGTCATACAGATGACACAGATTCTTGAACTGTATTACAAATGCCTCCATTTTACCCATAATACTTAGCAATCTAAATTACTCCAGAAACTCTCAAGTGAGAAGTGGTAGGGAAAGTGAGAGATCACCCATTAACTTTCACAGGCAACAGCCTATTGTGAAAAGAGGCCAGAGCTCGAATGAGCTGTCATCCAGGCTGACACTCCCAGGTTTGGCAAACTCAGCCAAATCATTTCCTCTTCTGAGCTCCAGTTTCCTCACTTATGCAAGCATTATTCCTCATACAGGGTTGTTGTGAGGAAAGTACTTCACAAACCTTGAAATTCTACATAAAGATATGCATTTCCAAAGGAAACTAAGGCCCAGACAAGAGAAGGGATTTGTCCCAAGTCAAAGACACCAGGATAGCCACTTCTACATGGACAAGCTTACGCTTGAAGGGAGAATTTCAGATTCCAAGTCCAACACCTTTAACTAACACCGTGCAATTTAGCAATAATGACTTAAAAATGATTTTTAATTTTGATAAAAAAGCAAGTGTCTCTAATTGACCTGAGATCTTCAACCATTTTTGAGGCTAAACATATTTTTAAGTTTTAAAATCCTTGTAGTAATATTTTACCCTAGTCAAAGTCACGTAGTAGTGTGTCCTTAAATGATATAAAAAGCAGATTCACAAGGAAAATCAATTACATGTATTAAAAAGTCTCAAAAAATACTTTTCAATTTTAACAATTTAATAACTTTTTTCTTATATATACAATTACTGTCACAGAGTGGCAATAAATGTGGTAGAAGGTATACTGCTAACTTATTAACCTCCATCTGCTGGCTTTCTCCCTACTTGCCCTGTTTGTATGTATGTGTATATATACCTGTTTATCCAAGAAGCCCTTACCCTCTGGATCTGCCAAATCCCAAATCTGCAGAGAAAAAAGCAGGCATTAACATGACCCTCCAGATGAACCTTCTGTCATCCCAGTAGCTTCAAACAGAAACCTTCAACCTCTCCAGAAAGCAACACCCAACATCCTCACCCTTGTTCCCCATCCCCTCTAATCCCTCTGAGAAAAAAAAGGGAGCATAAATGAAGTCATCAAGGCATTCAGCTAAGACAGAAGTGGCAGACCCTGTCCAGCAGGGCAACATCAGCAAAACTCCTATGAAGAAAATGGGGAGATCACAATGAAAACAACTCAGCTCCAGGCAAAGGGACAATTCTCAGTGAGGAGCCATAAGTCTTTTGAGATCCAGATAAAGCCTTGAAAGATACATTATCTACTTTTCACTTACCTTTCCAAGAACAATGTCGGAGAGACCTGACTTTTTCAGAAAAAGTGCAGCTTCACCAGCCCCAACTCTCCCTGTATATGTTGGATCTACCTGCAATAAACAAAAGAGGAAGATTTGACGAGATACTTCTTAAAAAGAGATGGTAAAGCAATACACAACTGTACAATTTCTCCATTCACTGGCAACCAAAGTAATAAATGAGAATAGTAATGGCACTGTATTTAAATTTACCTCAGCTTTAAAAGAAATAAATAAACCTACCTGTTTGTAATAAGACTCATACAATGGATTTCCAGTCGTAAACTGCAAATAAAATCACAAATATTGGTAAGTCAAAAAGGGTCAAACTACTAAGGAAAAACATCCTGATATTACTGAAATCAACATCAGTAAATTTCAAAATGTCTTCTATATAATTAATCAATCACTAAACACCTACTATGTGCCAGGCACCTCTATACCAGGGATATAAATACAAAGAATGAAACAATCCCTCCTCATAACGAGCTTACATTCCAAATGAGGAGACAAGTACATATATATAAGTAAACACAGAATAGACAGATGGCAGGAAGGGAGGGCACTAGCAACAAACAAGAATTTAAGGGCCTTCTATATACCAGGCACTGTTCCAGGCAATGAGGATGTAAGTACAAAATAAAACAATTCCACTCACAAGGAGCTTACATTCTAACAGCGTGATAATTCCATATAAAAAAATATGCAATATAAATATGCAAACATAAACAAAGTAAATACAAGGTAGTTTGGGAGGGAGGGAAAAGCCCCAGGCAGTGGCAGCTAGACGGCATAGTGGACAGAGCACTGGCCCAGGAGTCAGGAGGACCTGAGTTCAAATCCAGCCTCAGACATTCAATACACACTAGCTGTGTGACCCTGGGCAACACCCGATTTCAAAAGAAAGAAAAGCCCCTGGTAGAAAGTGGTACTTGAGCTGCCACTTAAAGGAAAAAGAGGGGATGTTGCAAGGCCAGAGGTAAGGAGAGAGCACATTTCAGGAATGGGGGACAGCCAGTGCACAGGTCTAAAGCTAAGAGATGGAGGGTCACATGTGAGAGCCAGTTTGGCTGGACTGTAGAATGGATATGGGGTGTGGGGGTGGGCGAGGGGACAGGCATAATGTCCAGGGAGCCTGAGCTTTAAAAGCTAGATAGAGGCATTTATATACTATCTAGAAACACTAGGGTAAGATTAGCACTAGGTTTATCTAGGGAGCCAGTAAAGTTGATTGAGTAGTGGAATGACATGGCCAGATTTGTTTTAAGGAAAATCAATTTGGTAGAAGTATATGGAATACCCTGAAGTGGCATGAGAATTAAAGAACAATTACGTGGCTATCGAAAAAATCTACTCAAAAGGTAATGAGGGCCTGAATTAAGGCAGTAGGCTGAGTGAATGGACAGAAAGAGTCTGATGCAAGATATGCTGTGAAAATAGAAACGTTGATGTTTAACAATTTACTGGATAAATGGAAATTTATGAGGATATAGAGGGTGAAGAGTGTAAGACACCCAGGATAACGCCAATGTTATGAACCTGAGAGACAGAAAAGATGGTGGTGCCTTCACTAGAAATAGGGAAGATTGGAAGAAGGGAGGGTTTAGGGGAAAAGGTAATGAATTCAGTTTCAAAGACAGTGAGTTTAAGATTTCTTCAAGATATCCTGTCTGAAAGGTCCAAAAGGCAAGAGGAGATACAAGGGTTTGATATCTAGATCTGGCTTCATGTAGAAAATAGTACTTGGGCTACATCTTGAAGGAAGAGAGGGATTCTATACAAGAAGGCATAGCCTAACCAGAGCTGTTTCATAAAAACATTAGCTCCTGATGACCACATTATGCCACAAAACCCTGCTGAACATCATTTTACCAAATATCCAAGGAATAAATCAGGTAACCAGTGAGGGTCTGAGTTAACTACTGCCAGGAAAAACATCATTTCACCTAATGTCATGTTTTGCAGAAACCACTAACAATGCTAGAGAGAAAGGTCTCCTTATAAATTTTATCAATTTTGTGACAAATCTTACACTAAATTCATTTGTGGCAAATAATATTGTTTAATAATTTGTCATTCTTAAAGCAGTAATACTAATAACAGCTAGAATTTGTACATTGTTTTAATATTTGCAAAGGGCTATGCATGTATTATTTCCTTTGATCATCACAACCATTCAAGGAGCTAGATGTTATTAACCCCATTTTAAAGATGAGGACAATGAGGCTGGGAGAGATTAACTGACTTGCCCAAGGTGATCACTACAGACATCACTACAAAAGAAACAGTAGGATTTTGATTCTAAATTTTGTAACAATAAGATTTCATCTATTCCTCAAACTTTGGAAAAACTATTTATTCTTTCTGCTATGTTCTTTATAATTCAGCCAGAAGGTGGCCCGACATCAATCATTAAACTCCACTTGAAGGGCTGGGGAGAGTGGTGCCTCAAACCCCCACACTCCCAAGTTGGTAGCACTTTCTCTGTGCCTAAAACACCTGGATTCCCTGGCTTCCAACAGGGAACAAAAGTGCAGCCTTCTGCAAGAAGCCTTTCCTAGTTTACTTTAATCTTACTGCCTTCCTACTGAGATTATCCCCAATTTCTTCTGTTTATACCTAATTTGTACATAGTCGTTCGCATGTTGTCTCCCCCATTAGACTGTGAGCTACTTGAGAGCAGATTCGTTTTTCAATGTTTCTTTGTATCCCCAGTGTTTAGCACAGTGTCTGGACCTAGGAAGTGCTTAATAAAAGCTTGTTCACTGATATCATTAATGTGGGCCATTTGGCATTTCTTTTGTGGATAATAGTTATGCTGAATTTTCCTGAATTATCATGAATTTTTTATAAATTATGATATATGAGTTATTATGATTTTCTAAATTACGATTTTTAAATAACCTAAAATGACAATTAAATCAAATAAGCCTAAAAGGAAAGTATGCTTCTCACAATGACTAAATCCTCTGCACAGCCAAAGAACTTACTGCCCACCCTCCTTTGGCTAAGAAAAATCAATAGTGAGCCACTGTTATACACTGTCATAGGGGGACCACCAAATAGGCTGGGGAGCCTTCTATTAGATCTCAGAACATTGTGTGAACACCACTATTTCAACTACTTAAGTTTATCTTTACCAATGTCACAACATCCCCCAGGCACAAAGTTTTATAAAAAAAAAAAAAAGATGGTATTGATCCATGAAAAGAAAGTTCTGGTCCTTATCCAAAAGAGAAAAAAAGCACCGGGGGCGGGGGGAGCCAGCCAACTATTGAAGACACCAAGGTACCAAATGAGGCCCGTTGATAGATTTAAAAGACCACATTATATTTCTTTTTTTTTTTTTATAATTTATAGGCAATTGGGGTTAAGTGACTTGCCCAGGGTCACACAGCTAATAAGTGTCAAGTGTTTGGTCTGAGGCTGGATTTGAACTCAGGTCCTCCTGACTTCAGAGCCGGTGTTCTATCCACTGCACCACCTAGCTGCCCCTCACATTATATTTCTAACACAGAGAACTACAAAAGTCCACATTAAAAGTTAACGCCTGGACTTAGATTCTCTTCTGCTTCCTGGAGCCAAGCAGGCCGAGTAAAAAAGTTGCTCTCACTCTTCCCTATCAACCTCTGAAAGCCCAGAAAATATTACCCCAGAAAAAAAACCCTGAACATGTGAACTAGAAGAAAGACATGGAGCAGCAGTGCAGCAGCCCAGCAAACAGGTCTCCCAGTGCCTCAGCAAAAATAAGGGAAGCAGCACTACAAAAGGCCTCAGGTGGATAAGTACCCTGCAGCATTCATCTGAAAACAGCTGAAGAAAACAACCTAATGTCTTCCTAAAGTCCAAGCCTTGCTGATTCCAGCCCAACACCAGGTAAGCTGTCAGAACCTCCAACTGTCAACCAGGAAGAGATCCTGAAGCCCAGGTGGTAGCGCAAGCAAACACTAACACCTGGACCTCCCAGTGCCTCAGTGAGGGCAGGGCAGGGAGGACCGGTGGAAACCAGCTCAGAAAACTACCAGGTGCCTCAACACTCTACCGCAAAGGAATCTCCCAGTGCATTAGCAGAAACAAGGGAGACAAGCACTGCAAGGGGCCCCAGGCAGATAAACACCCTGCAGCACCCATCTAAAAGGAGCTGAAGAAAGCTAAAGGAAAGGAAAAGCAGGCAACCTAGAATTGCCTGAAAGTTCCAGCCTTGCTGATTCCAGCCCAACATGAGGTAAGCTGCCAGAACTCTACAGCCTCCAATTGCCAATGTAAGAGGCCCCAGCACACAAAGCCAGTGACCAAGACCTAGGCTCCCAACACAAGAAGCTTGGGTCAGTGCCCTCTGTTCCCCAGCAGGAGAGCTCAATCTCTTTAAAGGCCAGGGAATAAAGAAACACCATGAGTAAAAAGAAACGTACCATAGATTCATATTATGAGAAGAGTGAAGATCAAGACAGAAATTCTGAAGAGGACAACATTGTCAACAAACCCACATCTGCAACATCAAAAGGGAATATGAACTGGTCTGAAGCCCAAAAAGCCTTCTTAGAAGAGCTCAAGAAGGATTTTAAAGTCTAATGAGAGAGGTAGAAGAGTCCTTAAAAAATACAATTGGCCAATTGGAAAAAAAGTACACTGAAGAAAACAAATCCCTTAAAAATACAATTGGCCAATTGAAGAAGGAAGTACAAAAACTAACAGAAGAAAACAATCTGTTAAAAACTAGAATTGGACAAATGGAAACTAATGACTCTATGAGAGAGCAAGAATCAGTCAAACAGAAACAAAAAAATGAAAAAATAGATGAAAATATAAAATACCTCATCGGTAAAACAACCGACCTGGAAAATCAATTCAGGAGAGACAATTTAAAAATCATTGGACTACCTGAAAATCATGATGAAAAAAAGAGCCTGGACAGTATCTTTCAGGAAATCATAAAGGAAAACTGCCCTGAAGTCCTAGAACCAGAAGGTAAAATAACCATAGAAAGAATACACTGCTCACCACCTGAAAGAGATCCCAAATTGACAACGCCAAGGAATATAATAGCAAAATTCCAAAATTACCAGATGAAAGAGAAGGTGCTGCAAGCAGCCAGTCAGGATTACACAGGACCTTGCAGCTTCTACATCAAAAGACGGCAGGGCGTGGAACATGATATTCCATAAAGCAAAGGAGCTTGGATTGCAGCCAAGGATCAACTACCCTGCAAAAATAAGCATGATTCTTCAAGGGAGGAGATGGATATTCAACGAAATAGGAGACTTCCAAACCTTCCTCATAAAAAG